AGTTGCACAGAATATAAAATGTACAGGCCAAAGTTGCACAGAATATAAAATGTACAGGCCAAAGTTGCACAGAATATAAAATGTACTGGCCAAAGTTGCACAGAATATAAAATGTACAGGCCAAAGTTGCACAGAATATACTGAACTCCATTAAAAACGCATCACTCCGTTCGTAGAGTCTGAACACGTTTGTATCAGTTGAAGATAGATTAAAAGAAGTGCTTTTTGAACTGTATTCATTTTCCAACAAATGTGGGCCATTTTCATTTCATACTTCATCTGATTTCGATACCTTGTCTTCCTTCTTTCGAAGTACCCCCTAAGGACAAATTTGCAGAAAAGCACAAATCAAAACTTAATAAAGATCTCTCACTCTTAGTAAACTGTATGGCCATCAATACCATGTATGCAGACCAAAAGACGTCTTCACGTGGATTTACGCAATTTTAAAAATGTTTTGTTGAGAAATTCTGAGACACTTTAGAGGCAGCGCGACCCACAACTGCAGCAGACTGGCAAAACTGCCTCTTGCACGCACTTTGTGGTTCCACTCATCCCTTATGTGGCCTGTGACACAGATTGGCAAAACTGCCTCTTGCACGCACTGTGAGGTTCAGCTCATCCCTTATGTGGCCCGTGACACGTCGGGTAGTTCACGAGCCAGTCCATGACATTCATGTTAGGATCCTAGAGAAACTGTGCTCATTGTTATAGATGAGTGTCGTGTTGGATGACTGAGAGATTCTGAGTTTTTCCCGTGCTGTTGGGCACAATTACGGCGCATTTGTCGCGGATTCGTTTATAGCAGTTCTAAATAAGGCATTCTTGACCCAAGTCCTGGACTAACAACTCGACCTCAGATTGATAGAAGAAACATGTTCACACACTCCTCTCATGCCTTTAGCTGTTACTTTTACAGAAGGAAACAATTCTGCAGATGAGACACAAAATCTGCCTCTCTTGAGCAGGGCTGGTCACTCGAGACTGGCCTATTCTGTGTCTGTCCTGGACATTGCAAGTGAGCGAAATTCTTTGGATAAGTCGAGAAACAATACAGTCACTGCAGTAATTTAGCAGTCTTCCTGCTCTTTGAGTAGCAGTTCTTCCTTGAATTAGGTGGAGGCAAAACTTGCGGTTAGCTTTGCTAAGTTGACACGTCTTGTAATGAAACTTGGAAAGAGCCACTTATCATCTTCTAAGAGAATTAAATTCTTTTAATGAGTAAAATTTGGCCTCATTAACACCCGCTACCAAAACACGGGTCATTGTGCTGGGATGAAAAGGACTCGTGAAAAGAACAAAAATCGTTGACCGGCCTGTGAATGAACAACTACTCACTTGCGTCTCTAAAAGTCGTGACGATCAGAAGAAAGTTGGACATTAAAAAAATATTTTCTGTAAAACGTTGCTTTTTTATGAGGCTCACCATATATATATATATA